ACCAAGGGCCTCTGCCATCATGACCAAGGGCCTCTGCCATCAGGTCCAAGGGCCTCTGCCATCAGGACCAAGGGCCTCTGCCATCAGGTCCAAGGGCCTCTGCCATCAGGACCAAGGGCCTCTGCCATCAGGTCCAGTGGCCTCTGACAGGAGGCCAGTGGCCTCTTACATTGGGTCCAAGGGCCTCTAACATCGGGTCAATTAATGCCCTCTGACATCAGGTCAACTGGTCTCGACGAGAGGTCCAAGATTTCAAGTTTAATTATTGTTTTACCCAAAAATGTCCATTGTTTTACAAAAGTTGGTGTGTTAACAGGTCAAAGGGTGTGTTTATACTGATAAACACAAAATAATCTATTTTTGTTAACTGCTTTTTAATGAGTGCCAGAGAGCCTGCTCGCGTTTCAACTGCATTTTAGCTTTTTAATATTTGTTTTCGTGGCGGAAATTACATCACCATTTTGTTTATACAACACATTCTCCAAACTGTATACTGTAGTTTCTTTCTCACTAACAAGACAATTACTTCATGTAAATTCTGGTCATAATGACAAGGAGTTGGATACAGTGTGTGGTGAAAAAGAGAATGTTTTCAATGCTTTCAGCTATGCTCATCGGCATAACGAACGAGCAAACAAATGAGGACAATGGTAGGCCCAGAAGAGTGGAGAGGTCAAGGCCAAATATCCCCCCACAAAAATAAATACGAAACAATTTCTTCACTCCACGTGCTTGTTGACGTTTTAGCTTGTAGGCCTAAAACATGAACAAGAGGCTAATCATTTTGAAAGTGATACGATCTATCTTTGCAGTGGTTTTATTTGCCGTTTAACTGGTGCCTTTTCTACTGCAGGGAAAAAAGCGATTTTTCAAAAAAGCAATTTTTTTTTTGTTTACTGTAGAACAGGCCCAAAAATATGTTTTTATTTTCAATTATCTCATCAGTATAAGCAGGTAATGTATAAAAATGTCTTGCCTTTGATACTGACTTATTAGTGAACAATATTGCATCTTGCTAGGTAACCATTTACCTATTCTGACCCAATTAGTAAATTCTCCTTTAAACACAATGTGTTGCTTCACAGGATCTGAACAAGAAGTTGAAGACACTGATAAGTTCTCAGCAATGTATGGTCTTCATAAAGGGCTCACCACAGGAACCTAGGTGTGGATTCAGCAAACAACTGGTTCAAATCTTCACTGAATCCAATATCCAGTTCAGTAGTTTTAATATTCTGACAGACGACACAGTAAGACAAGGTACAAACAAATCCACTTCAATAAAATTATAAGAATAATAATAATAATAATAATAATTATTATTATTATTATTATTATTATTATTATTATTATTATTATTATTATTATTATTATTATTACTACTATTATTGTTATTATTATTGTGAATTTTCTTTCCTTTAGTTAATCCAGTGTAAATTTATTATAAGTAAATGTTGTTTTTGCTTACAGACTTGACATTCTGGATTCAAATAATTTACTGAATCCAGAATGAATTTATTTCCTATGAATAGTAATAATAATAATAATAACAAAACAAGAATAATAATAACAACTTTTTCAGAGTGCTTCCCTTGTGGAGCATTTCGTAATTTGCTGCATGAGATATATAAGTGCATTGGCCCTCAAAACTCCAAAGCACCGACTTATACTCTTGGGTGGAGAAAGACAGCATGGATAAAGTGCCATAAGTGCACAGCGAGGGTTTCGAACCCCGACCTCCGAACCATGACCATTGGGCCAACAGCTTATATATATATGTATATGTAACAATTTATTAAACACGCACATCATCTGTGTTTGATAAAAATACTGAAGTGTAGATGATTAAGTTTTTTTTCCCTTTTCCATAATTTTCCAGGTTTAAAGAAGTACTCTGATTGGCCCACCTACCCACAGATTTATCTTAAAGGCGAGCTTATTGGTGGATTAGATATTATTAAGGAAATGAAAGAATCAGGTGATTTGGATTCTACTTTCCCTAAAGTAGAAAACATAGATGACAGGTAAGGAACTGTTATTAAAAATGTGGAATAGTATAAATTTATGATTCTAGTAATAAAATGCAAAAAAAAAAACACCATTCTCTAATATAGGTAAAGGTAGATATAAATTTGTTTTTAGTTACAAGGAAAAACCTAAATTTTTTTTATCAGTGTCATGTCATTAAAACTAAAGCCAACAGGCCATTCAAATGACGGATTGTTTGATAAGAGAAAATTATCTATTTAAAGTAAGTTGTTTTTTATGCTAATTTTAGATTATAATTTCAAAATGACATTACTCAACATATTTTATATTATTGTATTGATGCTTTTCTGTGTATTTTTATTTCAATCTTAAACTTACATTTCATTTTTTCTGTGTTCTAGGTTGTGTACTTTAGTCAGTCGTAGCCCGGTAATGGTATTTATGAAAGGAGAACCGGAGGCACCTCGTTGTGGTTTCAGTAGAACGTTAATATCTATTCTAAAGGACAATGGGTAATTTTATATTAATAACTATAATAACAATTTACATTTATATAGCGCATAATTGCGCAGTGGCTCTATGCACTTTACACAAAATTATAAAACAAAAAACATGTTGACTTTACAATAATATAATAATGTGCTAGGTCTCGAAGGGTCAACCATCCGCCTCTACCCTGGCGCTACCTACAGTAGGTGACGCAAACAAAGGAGCAGGTTTCACATTTGCAAACTCACTTATAGCAGCTGAGCTGTCGTAATTTTGTTAGCTTAATTAATCATTCATCCTATATATTATTTTTATTGAGATTACAATTAGAATTATGATGTGGTTATACTGTAGTAGTTCTGGGGCAGATGCAGGATTTGGTGGTAGGGGATGTGTGAGATTCATACTAATTTTGAGAATATGAACTTCTACGTGCCTGGAAATTGGACTCTCATACCAGACTTAATTTCATTTATTTTCATATCAACAATACAACAAATTATTTTTCTTAAGACACTTTACGGGGGTTCATCCCCCACCTCTGCATCTGCTCCAGTACAAGTTATGTATTAAGAAGAAATTATGTAAACTAACTTCTTTGTTTTTAGTTCCTATGCATGTAATGCAATAGGAACTATTGTAATCACTCTTGCTATTTCCTATGTTTTTTATTGTGTGTAGTGTGTATGTGTGTGTGTAGACATTTATGCAAATGCGCATGCGTCAAAGAAAAGTTTTCCGACATTTTGTTTTACATCGCGTGTGTGTGTGTGTAGACATTTATGCAAATGCGCATGCGTCAAAGAAAAGTTTTCCGACATTATTTTTGTTTTACATCGCGATGCGAAGATCGATGTGAAGTTTCTGCAGAGTTCAGTCAGGGCTCACGCTAACCGACCGGAATGTCGGCATGGATGAAACTATTTTGGTTTTACGGCAAAAAAATCATCTGCTGTAGGCATAGGTATTTTGAAGAAGGCCTAAAATAAAACTAAAATGTTTTAATACTTATTGAAATACATCGTTTCTTCATTTAGATCTCCATTTTTCACTTAGTCCATGCGACGTGTTTTTCTGTTGTATACGTATGAGTAGTCATATGAAGGTACTATATCCCCGACAGTTGGCTGTGCAGCAATGTACCCTTTGAATGCAAACTGAAAACA